AGGGAGGCGGCACAGCAAGTGTAGGGTTAGTATTGTACCTCCTCGTGGCAAAGTGACTGACGACGTCATGTCGTTATCGATTGATGCGGAGAAGTACGGTGGTCGAGAGGGAAGGACGGATGCGTCAGTAATTGTTTATGATAGACAATGACTTGTCGAAAGGGTCGAGGATCTCTTGTCGATGCGCGCAGGTCGTTTGGTTGGTTGCTTGTTATATTTCAAAATCTCCCTTCCTATTTTCAACATCGATTGGCCGTCCTCGATAAAATCAACTGTCGTTGGCTTCTGTCGTAGTTTTCGGCTCGTGCGTTGGCATCTGCAGCTCTGTCTCGTCTCCTAGCTCATTGCAGTTCGCTCACCAACAGAAGGGCTCTGTTGTCATTTCTCTGGTTAACCGGTTATGGAGGATATCGTCTCGGTGTTTATAAAAAAAAAAAAAAGAGCAAGGATTGGAGAATCCGACGACTTTGTGAAATATACGATCCTCTCGTGAAAGAGAGAATCCGAGAAATTACAACATGCGATGGCATTATGCCACAGAACAGAGACCGGAGGGTTGGAGATTGCCTTGGGTTTATGGAAGGGAGAATTGTCTCTACGAAGGGAGTAATGGAGAATCTTCTTGAGAACAGAGGTCGAAGAAAATGGTGTATGGGCCTTGCTCTGCTATTCAACATTGTACATGCATTTGGACGCTTTCTGGACCAGGTTCATTCATGCGACTGCAACATTTTGAATCTATAGGGACGTCAGATACATAGATATACAGTGTTGTGCAGTGGAACGAGGCCCTATATATGTCACAAATTTTTTGTACATGCTTTTGGACGCTTTCTGGACTAGGTTCATCCATGCGAGTGCAACTTTTTCTGCTACTCAACATTGTAGATGCATTTGGACGCTTTTTGGACCAGGTTCATTCGTGCGAGTGCAACATTTTGAATATATAGGGATGATTACGAGCTTCAGATACATACATACATACATATACAGTGTTGTGCAGTGGAGTGAGGCCCTCCTATATATGTCACGAGTGCAACGTTTTGTACATGCATTTGGACGCTTTCTGGACCAGGTTCATTCATGCGAGTGCAACTATATCTGCAGTGGAGTGAGACCCTATATATGTCACGAGTGCAACATATTGTACATGCATTTGGACGTCTTCTGGACCAGGTTCATTCATGCGAGTGCAACTATATCTGCTACTCAACATTGTCCAATGGGTTTGGACTGCTTCTTTGATCAGGTGCATTCGTCCGAGTGCAACGTTTTGAATATATAGGGACGATTACGAGCTTCAGATACATACATACATATTAAACAGTGTTGTGCAGTGGAGCGAGGCCCCTTGTATGTCACAAATTTCCAGAGGAGAGGATCTGGTTCGAATTATGGTGTAAATTAGATTGGTCCCGATTCATTGAAGATGCCGGATCAGTCTTAATGACGTTAATGTATCTGGTCCACTTTCCGTCAAAATACATTCACAACACGTTTACAGTATGTATGTTGTAGTGGATCTCGTTCGAACATGTTCTAGAATCTAAATTTAGATTGGTTAACTAGCTTGTACAAAAGGCGTAGGGTAGGGTTAAGTTTAAACTTTAAATCGGGCTTGAAACTTGAAAGTGGGGGCAATGGCATCAAATGTAAATCGAGTGCAAGACGTCTGCGGCGCTGGTGAAGAAGGATAAGCGGCGGACGCTCCGGTGATGTCGGGGGAAAGCTGCCAGCGAACTCTTATTAAAATTTAAAAGTACGATCGTAACACGCCGTCGTAGGTGGTTGAAGCTATTGTTACACACGCTCAAAGCTCAAAGCTCAGCTTTGTTGTTCGGTTGAAGAAGTGCTGCTACGCGTTTTCTTTTCTTTTGTTTCTTTGCTACGCAGCCTACACTCTTTGTTTTACTCGGCGTTTTCACTACTTTCGATCGCACTCGGCGAGCTCCTGTTGCTTTGTCAGCATTGTTTTTTGTTGCTTAACTCTGTGCAAGATTTTGCGAGGATCAGGATGAGTTAGAGAATAAGGAGTATACATGTCGACGTTGACTACCGTAGGCCCGGCGTAGGGGACTTTCTTCAAGGAGGAGATGAGATGACAAGGCAGGCGTCAAACAACATACATCTTGGGAGAAGTGGTTGGTTGAGCACTTGCTTGGGAGTAGCAAGACGAGGTTTTCGTAAATGACCAGTACTTGGCCCGGCGGCGGCTAAGGGCCGCGGAAAACAATAGAGTAGAAACGTTTCGAGCCCGATGGATTTGGGCACTCCTGTAGTGGCCCGTACGTTTCGTAAAATGCTCCTGTAGTGGCCCGTACGTTTCCTAAAATTGTGGCTTGTTAACGGGCACGACTGCAGGAATTATAGTGGGGGGTTTAAGCTGCTAGATTGTGGTGACAAGTATATGTATATGATCTTTCAGACGACTAAGAGTCGGCGCAGAATGTGCTGACGACATCAGGTCCTTATCGGAATAAGTGGAGAAGGAATAAGTGGATACGGTTGAGGATAGGGTTGGTGTCTGCTCTTACCAGCACCTCTAGCACTGGAAGGGAGTTAAAATAAAAGGTTTTAAGGTTATGAATGAATAAGGATTCTAGAGAAGGGACTATTCGTCGTGGCGCACATGACAGTGGCTGTTTCTGCTTGGTGGTGGTGCAAATTGATCAGTAAATGCCTTAGAGGGGGGAGGGAAGGGGGGGAGGGAGGGGGGGGGGGGGGGGGGGGGGGGGAGGAGACGAACATGGGGAAGAGGTGGGGGCTTGGGGTGTGTGCAGGGAGTAAGTAGGGAAGGGGGGGGGTGTGTGTGTAGGCCTCCCATCTGAGGTGACTTCGTAAGAAGTTAAGGTCTGAAAACTCTTTCCTGATTTTTTTTCTTTTTTTTTTTTCAATGTTTGAGAACTCTTTTCTTCATCCACATTTGTACAAAGTTTTATGCTGAAATGCAAAGGAAAAAAAATTGAAATGGACTCCTATTATATATCCGGTTGTGAACATTTTGAGTCTTTTTTTTCATATTAAGGCTGTTTCCGCGATTCTTAGGCTTTGTTAAATAACTTCAAAATTTAAATTTATTTATTTTCTTTCAAACGTTTGCCAACCTTGCCCAGTCTTTTTTTTTTTTTTTCCCCTCACAACCGAAGGAAGGTTTTTTTTTCTCTCTTTCTTTTTTTCTTAAATAAGCTTATATTCTTTTCTCCATTTTTTTCACCGTGCACTATCTACCTACCAGTACTCCTGACTTCCTAAGCCCTGCAAGCATACCTTAGTTAAGGGGGGGAAAAAAAGGAAGCTTAGGAAGTTAGCAGTAGTGGTAGGGGACCCCTGCAAGCATAGCTACCTTTCACCGAGTCACCACCCTACTGCCTGACCACCACCGATTAGAGGGGGCGGCAGAGGGGGGGGGGGGGGGGGGAAACCTAATTTCTCTAAA